GGCCTCGGGGACGGCCCTCGGCCCAGGCTGGGGGCTGCACGAACTCAGGGATGGCACTCAGCGTGGCCCAGGGGTCGCACGACCTGGGGACTGTGCAGCTGGGACTGACGCCAGATGACCAGAGTGAAGGGCCCGGCGCAGCGGGGGAGCTCGGCACCCCTTCCCTGCCTCTCACTGAGCACGCAGCTGGGGCACAGCAGAGACAGCTGACAAAGGAGCCCTCTCGGGGAGCGGGGGGGCAGCAGCCGTGCTTCCGGCTCTCCGTGCCGCTGGCTTCCCTGAAGCATGGAGAGCGGTGTTATAGAACCACCGCCAGGCGGCCAAGCCTGCACTTGGGGGAGGATTCCCAGGGCATCCGGCCTCCCGTGGGCAAAGTGAACAGTGACAGGAAGTGACCCCAGTCAGAGCCAGGGGTCCAGGTCCCACGGTGACCTCTGCCAGACAAGCCACTTAACCATCCATCACCTGTTGGGGACTGAATCGTGTCCCTCCTGGTCCGTGCTGCCAATCCCAGTCCTCCGTCTGTGTCTAAACCCGAGTGTTCTTGGTTTGTCAGCGAGGCAGGGTTAATGGAGGGCGTGTTTTGAGTCAACCTCTTCTAAGCTATGAAAGGAACAGTTAAGTATAAACCGAGATGGGGGAAGACCGGTGCCACACCACATGGAGCGAACCAAGGAACCAGGAACTAGAGCTGAAGAGAGACAAGGACCTTCCCCAGAGCCACCAGAAGAGAGCCTGCCCCTAGAGCCGGCGCCTGGACTCGGACCTCTACCCTCAACTGTGAGAGAGTAAACGCCTGCCAAGCCAGCGACGTGGGGTATTTCTGCTAGAGCACTGAGACTGTGCCTACCCTCCAGGCTGGGACCCTGAGACAGGCAGCCAAGGACCCAGCGGACTAGGAGCACCGTGCGGTGAACACAGGGGTTTCTGGGTAAATAGGACGTGTGCTCATGCTCGCGTTCCTCAGGACAAACAAAGGAGACCAAACAACACAGAGCCGAGAACAGCTGCGGTTATACCAAAAGAACCAGCACTCGTCCTCCAGCAAACCCGACTCACGGCAACTCCACTTGCACCAAAAAACCACCACTCGTCCTCGGCAGATCTGACTCACAACAACTCCACGTGCACCAAAAAAAACGCCACTCGTCCTCCGGCAGATCCAACTCACGGCGACTGTGTGTACTCAAACCCCAACCACTTGACCTCCAGTAGCCCAACTCCCAGCGACCCCGTGTCCCCCACAGCAGCCCTGTGCCCACAGGGCTTTCAGCAGCTGCTTTTTCCGAAGGGGATTGCCAGGCCTTTCTTTCGAGGAGCCTCTGGTGGGCTGGAGCCTCTAACTTTCGGGTTAGTGGCCAATCACACCCGGGGACTCCCAATGTGATTACAAAGTGGGGGACGTGACCCCATGAGCCACAGAAGAAGGCTGGCTTCACGGTCTTGTCATTCCACAAGCCACAAAAACCACCACCCCAGACGCCTTCCCAGTTCTCGGTGTGTGAGATAAAGGAAACAACTCCAAATGGAAGCGGCCCAAGAACAAGGATCTCGCTCTGCAACATCCACAGGAGCCCAGTGCTGTGGGAGAAGACTGGACGGGCAGTTGGCTGAATGTCCAGCCTCAGGCGAGAACGGTCCATCCAGCGAGCTCCCCCGGGAAGCTTCTCCGTTAAAGCTGCTCACGTAACAAGACCACTCACTGAAATTGTTTCAGGCCACGCTACAAGTTCCACAAAGGAGGCAATGGACTGCCTCAACCAAAATCTGTCTTTTCAGTGTCCATGGTCTATGGCAGGCCTACAGGAAAGGACTTGGCTACTAAAGACAGACTTGGCCACCTTCATCCAAACTTTCCTGAAGGCAGAAGCCACCAGCCATTAGAAAGGATTTTCCCCAACTGGATCAAAGATTCTACAGCCAAATCTTGATCAAAAGGGGGAAAATGTGGAACAGAATTTCAAAGTCTCATAGAACCTAGACTCTGGATACACTGAGGCTGGATGACCTCCGAAACTACTGCTCCAAAGAAATCTTTAAACCAAAACCAAAACTATACCCGGAAGTTGTCTTTAAACTAAATAATAACTTAGCTTACTTAGGAAAAAATGCATACCTTGAACACCGTGTTCTGTTAAAGAATTATCTACGTGAGCTCAAACTGACGACAGCAACACGAAAGGTTAGATGGGAAAGGAACAGTGAGTTTGCACTGATGGTGGTGAGACAATTCGGAAAGGGGAGTAATAAAAGTGGTACAGCCTGAAGAATGGAGCCACGTCACTGAACTGCACAAGCAGAAACTGCTGGGGTGAGGGACGTTCTGCTGTGCACATCTTCCCCAAAAAGGAAAAACAACGGGTGTTCCTCAGGGTCCAACACGTTTGTTCCCCTGGTGAAGGACTCTTGGCTGCAACCTTCAGGACAGTAATCCTGAAGGGGTCTCAACCCCAGGGCAACAGAAAAGGCAAGTGGTGGCATCGGACCCTTGTGCAGGCCTTCACCAGCTCCTAAGGAACATACCAGTCTTTGGCGCTGGTGGGGAACAGGTAGCCCTTGATCATGGCAAATGTGGAGACGGCGTAGCCAAGGATGTTGGCACACCACAGCAGCGGGATCCAGTTGTCGAAAATGATGGTGGGGGAGAACCAGGACAGGAAGTGGGCGTTGGCAAACCAGAGGAGGTGGGTGATGAGCCAGGCCTGCAGGCCGTTAATCTCATATTTGTTGACAATCCCTGCAGAGAGATGACACATTAGCCAGGTCGCCAGCCTGCATGAGGCCACTGGGCCTGCTGGGGCCCACCCTGGCTCAGGCCCAACTTGCCTCCTGACCTCTCTGGCTGTACCCAGGCCACCTCCCAACAAAGACAATGAAAATCCAAGGCCTTCAAGTTGCAGTGAAGGCCTCTGGCTGGGGAAAATGGTCTGCACTTGGTCATCAACTGAAAGTTGGCAACTCGAACCCACGGAGGTGCTTTCAAGACCCGCCTTCGTAAAGATGACGGCCAAGAAATCCCGATGGGGCAGTTTCACTGTCAGACGGGGGGCCATAAGGTGGAATCAGTTTGATGGCAATGGGGATGGTTTTCTGGGTTAAGTCACAATGCCATGGGACAGCTCACACTGCCGACTGAGAAAATAACCGTCCCTGCCAATCGCCTGCTCCTTCGGCCAAGTCCCAGAGAAGTGGAGAGAGGCGGGCCGGCAGGGAAATGGGCGGACGCCCTCCCTTCGCTGAGTCACCCTCTGAGGCTGGTTAGGCCCAGGTGGAGCAGACGTGGAGCGAGGTCCTGCCCTGGGCTCCCACGCGCCTTTGACTGTGAGGGGACTGGGCTCCCACGCGCCTTTGACTGTGAGGGGACTGGGCTCCCACGCGCCTTTGACTGTGAGGGGACTGGGCTCCCACGCGCCTTTGACTGTCAGGGGACTGGGCTCCCACGCGCCTTTGACTGTCAGGGGACTGGGCTCCCATGTGCCTTTGACTGTCAGGAGACCCTGCTGCTAAACAGGGAGCTCACTGCAGAGACTGGGAGGGATTTGAATCAGCACCCGATTCAAAGGTGTAAGGTTAAAGGTTATGTGTCAGCTTGGCTGGGCCTGGTCTGAGTGGCGGGCAGCTGGACGGAGTTTCTCCCCATGATGAGACTGGTGACGGGCTCCGTGGTGGAATCCACTGGAGCAGCCGAGTAGCTGCCTTAGGGACGTGGGCTGCTCCCAGCACCTAAGGAGAAGCTTCGGGAAGGGTATCGGCAGCTTTTGGCGTGCCTGAATCCTGCACGTAGCCAAGCCGTTGTTCAGCAGCCTGCCATGTTAATGCACCTGAATCAGTGGCCTGCTGTGTGGCTCGGTAATCTCGGGACTGTGCCTTTTTACTTGTCAACCTTGGGTTTGTCAACCTCAGCAGCCAGCAGCTGCCTGAGTGAAGAAAGCCTCCAGCCTCAGTGGGCTGGGAGCAGGAGGCAGAGCTGAAGCCCAAGGCTGAAGGGCTTTCACTGAGCCCCTAGAGCCTGGCACTTTGAACTCAGACTTCTAGCCTCCCAAACTGTAAGAGAGTAAGCTCCTGTTTAATCAAGCCATCTGTTTGTTATATTTTGTTAGAGCAGAAATAGATACCCCAAAACACCCCTTGTGCCCAGAACAAGGCTGTATTTCATTCAGGTACTGGTAACGGAGAGGAATGAATGCTGAGGTAGCCCCAGGCTCCTACAGCAAGGCCTGCCTCACAGAAGCCCCTGGTGGGAACGTGTGCTTTCTGCAGGAAGGTACCCCACTGGCCCAGCAACAGCTACCAGCTATGCTTGGGGAGGGCTGGGGTGGCGCCCTGTCCCTTCTCTACGGAAGAAAGTCATTTTCAGCCCTGTACCCGGGACAGTCCCCAATTCCAGGCAGAACCATGCTTTATCATCTTTAGGAAGGAGCCCGCGAAGCGGGTAGGTGCCACAGACTGAAACGCCAGGCACAGCCAGTTCCTGGCAGCCACACAGCGGGGCTCCAGATGGGTCATCAGCACCAGGAGCTGGGCCCAAGGCCGACGCAGACAGACGCAACTACAGACTCCAGAGCCGTGGGAGGAGTTACCTGCAGGAGTCACCGCCCCCTCCTGAACCCCTCCGACGTAGCCGGGCACAAATTTATGGCAGAAGTCAGGAAGCAGTGAGTACAAAACCACCTGAAACAGAAGGAATGCACCAAGTTACTCAGGAAGTTTCCACAGAGCCTTGATTCCACTGACAGAGATGAAAAATTCAGCACGAGGCAGGAAACACTGCAGCCACGTACTGCCCCCAACTCATGGCAATCCCCCGCGCAACAGAACCAAACACAGACAAGGGAACCAAACGCTGCCCAGGCCGGCCCCGGGCCTGTCATCTGTCATGGCTCGGACCATAGGGTTCTCGTGGGCCAAGGGAACCAAACGCTGCCCAGGCTGGCCCCATGTCTGTCATGAGTCATGGACTGGACCGTAGGACTCTCATGGGTCAAGGGAACCAAACACTGCCCGGGCCGGCCCATCCCCGTCACAGGTCGTGGACTGGACCATAGGGCTCTTGAGGGCTGACTTACAGAGGCAGGTAGCCAGGCCTTTCTTCCCAGCCCATCTGAGCCTGGAAGCACCCGTGAAACCTGCTCAGGGTGCCAGCAGCACCTGAGCCTGACTGGCAGGTGGTGCCTGTGTGTGAGGGGCACGGCCTGGAGCTGACCCGGGGTCTCCCAGGCGGTGCCTGTGTGTGAGGGGCACGGCCTGGAGCTGAACCGGGGTCTCCCAGGCGGTGCCTGTGTGTGAGGGGCACGGCCTGAAGCTGAACCGGGGTCTCCCAGGTGGTGCCTGTGTGTGAGGGGCACGGCCTGGAGCTGAACCGGGGTCTCCCAGGTGGTGCCTGTGTGTGAGGGGC